ACCTACTCAAAATTCTTTGGGTAGCCTCTGTTGTCAACGCAGAAACGGCTGCCATCAGGTTACGCAACTTCGTCCTGTATGCCCAAAAGTACTCCGTAACGGCGCCGCAGGTACCAAGGTCGAAAGTCGGTAATTCACCGGCAGCATAAAATTACCTTTCTCGGTGCCCAGTAGCCCTGACGCTGATCAAACTTCTGACCCCGATTTTGGTTTCCCCTCTCCTCGACGCTGACAACCGCACAATTTCTTTTTTCTACCAACACACATATTTAGCTTACTTGCATAACGATATAAATGTTAAGGTCTGAAGATAATTCATCGAAAACAAATGTATGCTCACCAATCCATCTTTCGAATTATACATATCGTTTTAAAAACGGCCGAGATAAAGGCCGCTCTATAGCCATAATTTTGACATAGACAGGTGTCATGAAGCAGAACTGGATCGGCAGTTTCTACGTTTAGCAAATTGTGGTCGGAACCTCAAAAATTCAGGTACAGTGTCGTAGTAGCCGTTGAAGTTAAAATTAAATCTTTTCATACCCGGTCACATAGGTCACACTGAAGCCCTTTAGTCAAATTTGGGGCAACAAAGATCAGAATTTCAAGTAACTTACGCAAATCGAAATTAAAAGAACATTACTACAAGTTATATTATAGCAACTGATAAGCTACCGGGTCTTATATAAGTTGAGCTTTTCCTACTGGCTGTATATCCGCCCAATCCCGACGCCCCCGTTCCTGATTCTCTCTCTTTCTTGACACCAGTGGACAAGGAGCAAAGACCGCAATAGGTGCAGCGCAAATCTGCTATTTTTTTTTAAATTACTTCACGCCTCAGTCACTGTCCCTGAATTTACCCCGCCGTAGGCCTAGCGGTGGGCATTGGCGTCTATGGTGGTCAAGCTGCCGTATAGTATGCTCGATAATAAGTTTGATTTGGATTTATATGTGATATGGCTTGTTTTTCAGTGTTCTTTAATTTGAATACCACCGTATTTCCATTTTCAACTTCGTCAAAAGTTTAAAAAACAAGTAAATATGTAAATACATTTCAAAAAATTGGCGTCAGAGGCTATGTTAACGTTAAATGGCAGCTTCTAGTCATAGCTCCAAAATCTTACAGTAACTTGTTTGAAAACTTGTGTTGAACAAACATATGTTTTCCATAAGTTCGTATCACGCGTTATCGGAGAGCAAACGATAAGACTTATCAGCGCAACGCTAAAGGACTCAACTGTCTATGCTCAACGCCTCAGCTCTGACCCATGCAGTGGATATTCTTTATCAACCGGACTTCCCCTTAAGGCGGTGAAAACTAGTCTAGCGGGCAGTCAAATTGCTAAGAGTCGCTACGGCAGCATACGTCAGCCCTGGCACAAGCAACAGCAGGTCCTCTACGCAGTCCTGCCTTACGTGTTAAAGACTGTATCGAAAGTCGGCCTATGCTCGCTGACTGCTCTTCTTCATTAAAGCATTCATATAGAGACCTTTAATTAGGACATCAAAGGAAGATCCGAAGGAGAGTTGGTGTGGTTAAAATTTAACCTAAACGACTATAGCCTTTAGTTGGTGAGCGGTTCACACTTACGACACTTATTTCCTATGCTCTTTTAGAATGGCAACTGAAAAAAATAACTACTTTTTCTGTCAAAGACAAATTTGGCAAGCTTATTAGAGCTCTTGCGCCTAAAAAAGGGTGAAGCCG